GATTGTGGCTCAGAGATCTGAATGGAAGGTGCTCAGTGGTAGTAGTAGCAATAGTAGTAGTGGTTGCAGTAGTACTACGGTAGCACCTAGAGTCCCCAGCTGAGTCCTGCCAAGGTAACAACTGAAATCAGAGCCCCACTATGCTCTGACTGAGATCAGGGTCCCGCTGTGCTGGGTGTGGCACAGTCTGTGAGAGACCGTCCCTGCCCCTCAGCGCTCTCAGCCTGGCACTGGGCCTAGCTGGGCTCAGACCTTCCAAGCCGTGCCTGGTGGGACATGATGCTGTGGTAGAACAGGTGTGCACCCGGCACAGGACCACAGAGCGCACAGGCCTGGTCTGTGCCAGAGAGAGATGTGTGGCGTTTTGATCCTGTATCTTCTGTCAGACCCAGAAGTGCCTCAAGCCAGCAGCTGTTGCTCTGCCAGCCACGGCAGCCTGGAATGTCGGCCTGTCCTCTCCAGCACCCCCACGCTTCCCCCACACTAACCCTCCACGTTGGCTATTCCTGATCACTTTCCCCTCTTCCAAGTGCTTCAAAATGGATTCCTTGAGGATCTCCTCCATGATTTTTTGGGGGACTGAGGTAAGAATGACTGGTCTGTAGTTTCTCTCACCCACACTCAAGTGATTTAGGAGCTTACGGCTAGAGTCTCTTTGGTCACTCTCTGTTTTTTCTCCCACTCCCTGCTGTGTTTAGAGCAGCATCTGAACTGTTAAATTCTCTCCAAGCCACTAGACTGCGATATGTCCATGTTCCTTTGTAGACCTGGGCCTTCACTCCTATTGAAAGCCATTGGGAGTTAGGTGTTTTTTCAATATTTTACCCTGCATTATTTTAGGCTGAACATGAGCCTTGTAAAGAAGCTGGAAACCAGACCTGGTAAAGAATGTTCCATGGAAAAAAGGGTGTAATGAAAAACAGCTTTCACAATTTTATGAACAACTTCACCCAACAATTTCATTTCAGTCAAAATTTTTAAATAAAACGATTCACATAAAAATGTTTATTTTGATTCCACGCTTACTGGAATCAAAATGAAAATAATGTGGCTGTTAAGGAGTAAGAACTGAACTTTTACAAAGTCAGTTTGATTCCATTTGCTTTTAATGGATTTTCCAATCTGTTTTATTCCATTATTGTTTGGGTTTAAGTCATTTTGTTTTGGAATATTGGGAGATCTCAGGAAAACTTTTCAATGAAAAGAAAAATAATCTCAGAAAAAATTCCACATTTTCACCCGCCTCCCAGAAAGCCCAGCTCCTTTACTCTCGGAGTCCCGCTTTGCACAAGGGCATACAGATAATAAAATGTCCCAGAAACCTACATTCACCCTTTGCTCTGGGGCTGGGCAGGAAATGTACTGATAACACAAAGCAGCTGGCTGTGGGCCAGACTCCAGTTCCTTCTTCCCATACCAGCAAGGGCTGGGAGCTCTGCAGAGGGTGGGGTTAAATTAATGTCGTTACAGGCGCTCAGGGGCTCTCTGACAGGGAGCCCTCCCCCCTACTCATTGGGGTGACAGTGACATGGGTAGTGGGTGTACTAGGCAGGGGGAGGCTGAGCTCCCCAAACAGCCCAGTGTGGCCCTGCCCATGCTCCACTCCTAGGAGAGCCCTGAGTTCCTGCTCTTTCATGATGCAGCAGGGCAGGGTTGGGCTGGGCTGCTGCCAGGACAGGGGGAGGCTAGAACTGGTGCCCGCCCTTGTGCTCCAGTTGGGGGCGCTGCATCAGCACCACCTGCCTGATGCCGTTCCAGGGCTGGGGTTTGGGGTGGCGCCCACTCTGGGGCTGAGGCTGGGGGCACTGCAGGCCCTGACCAGGACTGGGGGAGAGGTACACTGGCTTGGGTCAGCGAGGCCCGCAGTGTGGGGGAAGGGCTCTTGGCTGGGGAGGGGGCCGGAAGAAAGAAGGGGAGGGAGAGGAATGGGGCCAGTTGCAGGTTCACCCGCTGCCCAGGTCAGTGGCTGGGCCCTGTCTCCCCCTCCTAGGAAGACAGGGCCAGCACATGGGCCCCCTCAGCCTCACCTCTACTGCTTCCCAGAGCATGGGGTGTCAGTTGTAGAGATGGGTTTGTGCAAGGTTACAGCTGAGAGAGGTTCCCTCACAGTATTATGGATAAAGGAATTTTAAGCCATGCCTGGGAACAAGGTGGCCGTAGTGAGGTGGCTGCCCCACTCTGGCCAGAAGAAGTTAAAGTAGGCTGGAGGGAGCCTAGCAAAGCCTTGACCAATTAAGAAAGGCCTTATAAGAAGTCAACCAGAAGGCAGCTTGCTGGGGCGGCCCTGTATATAAGGAGCTGCTCAGCAGAGCCACGGGCAGTTGGGTCCTAACTGGCAAGGCTGAAAGACTAGCTCCTGCAGAGAGGGAGAAGCACCTGGAAAGAAGAGCTCTGGGCAGGCAGAGAGGCTTCAACCTGATACCTGCCAGGCTGTGACCTTGAGACAAGGGCCAAGAAGGTGCAAGGGGTCACGGTGAAGTAGCCCAGGGGAAGGGAATGTGAGCAGAAAAAGGGAGTAAAGGAGGATAGGACAAGTCTTCCACCAGAGAGTCTCTGAGCCGGGACCCAGAGTAGTAGGAGGTCCTGGGTCCCCCCCGTTCCTCTTTGCACTAAACCAGTGGTCCCCAACCTTTTGGGGCTGCTGTGTGTGTGGGGGTGGGGCCGCGCATGCGCCGCACGCCCGGGGATGGGGCAGCCCATGCGCCATGCACCCAGGGCCAGCACTGCGCATGGTCCGTGCGCCGGGGGTGGGGCCGTCCCAGATCATTCGGCAGGTGCACATAAATGCCCTACCAGGCACCATGGCATCCACAGGCACTGCGTCAAGGATCGCTGCGCTAAACCATGCCACCAAGGAGCATGGCCTGTATAAACTATGGCTTGCTCCAGAGGCAAGGGGCTAGACTTTGGGGCAGCAGCTGGCCACGCTGGCAGGTGGGACTGGGGACTGCTGACACCCCTGAAAGGGTATGAGATCGGAGTAGCAGACACTACCAGAGAGCAGTATCCTGAAGAGGACGCTGCGGTCCCAAGAGCAACGTGGGTCTAAAGACAGCAGAGGGCAAAGCGACAATCAAGACACCAGCCAGAATAGGGAACCTTGTGGAAGGTCAGAGCTAATTCCCAATGTGACCAACAGGCTGCCCGTGGTGGTGAGTCGAACCCCGCTACAGTGGAGAACACAATGTAGCTGTTCATGGCTGTTTGGCACAGATGCTGTCTAGTTTGTTTGACTAAAAGTTTATTCCTTTCTCACTCACTCGGTTGTTGCTTAATGAAACCCAAGATCACTCCATGGTGTCAGAAGTGCTGAGTGACAAAGAGAATGGGCAAGTCATTTTGAGGTTAACTCTTGTGTTAGAAACTGAAAGCAGAGGCAAGGGAGCTGGTGGAACAGAAAGCAGAGAAGAGCAAAAGCTTTTCTATTTGTTATATGATCACAGCGATAGCTTGAGTGGATCATGAAGGGAAGAAAGCCAAACCTGAATGTTTTGCAAGCTCAAACCAGCTTTCAACTACCAGGCAATGTAGCAGAAAACTGGAAGAAATTCCAAAAGATTTAAATTGTATTTAGCAGCCATGATCACGTTGAAATCACTCTCTTGGCTGCTTGTTGGGGAGGAAACGCTGGATATTTATAACAACTTCAACTTTGAAGAAGGTGAAAGCATGAAGTTAAAATTCTGACTGAATTTGCGGAACAACCCCACCCCCATAGGTCCTTGCACCCTCACTCAGCCATCTCTGCTTCTCATCCTTATGTATCCCTGCACCTACTTCTCCTTCCTCTATGTGTCTCCCCACCCTCTGCCCCCTGCCCCATGTGTCTGTGAACTCCCACTGAGACACCCCCATGTGTCCCTGTGGCCTCATTCCCATGTGTCCCTCTGTCCCCACTCAACCACCCCCTTTCTGCTGTGTGTTTCTGCTCCGCCTCCCCTCTGTCCCCATGTATACCTGCACTCCTTTCTCATCCCCATGTGTCTGTGGCCCCCACTCAGCCATCCCCTTCTCCCATGTGGCCTTGCACCTCCTCTCCCATTCATCCCAGTCTGTCCTTAGTCTTTGTGAACCTCATTATGTGACCTCCCATATACTCCATGCTGCCTGTGCCCTCATATTTCCTGTCTCCTGTCCTCACCCACCACCATGAGGAAGGCAGCCTCTTCTCTTCCCTGTCAGCAACTGGGGCTTGCCTGGAAGCAGCTGCTGTGTTCTAGTGTCCAGTGCCCCGGTGGTTAAAAGGCAACTTTCCAGCAGGATTTGTCATCTGCAGGGAAAAAAAATCTCAACTCCTGAATTATGCATGTGTGCAATGGGGCAGAATTCTCCTACGGGTAATGAACCTATTGCGAGGGGGAAGTTTTCAAGGGCAGCATGGCCATAATGCCAACAAGCCTTCAGAAACAATTGCAATAGAAGATCCAGGAGGATCATTTTGGAATTGAGAAGTGCAAACAGTGAGCATGAGAGGAGAGGCATTGGCCATGGATCTATCACTAGATTACTAATGCCGTGGGAAGCCACTTGCAATAGAAGCCATGGCAAGAGGCAGAGCCACTGAGAACTCATCTAGTTCTATAAAGGCCTTTTGAAAAGGCAGGCAGGGACTGATTTCACTTCTGTGTTGCCCACTGTGGTGGCAGGCACAGAGGCAGGCATTGGGACAGTGGTGTGGGTACCACTGGGGTTCCCTGAGAAGTGGCCCTGCTCAACCCGCATGGGAAGTGGGACACCTGCACCGGTGGGTGGTCAGAGACCAGACGAGGGGAGAAAATGGGGGTGGATACACAGCACAGCCTGGGATGTAAATTCCTGGTGCCAGGCTGGGATAGGGGGCAGAACAGCCTGGAAGTGATGGAATCTTCTCCCATCCTGGGGAGATGCTCTGCCTGGGAGCAGAGGGGGTCAAGTTAGCTGATGGATGAGGCATGTTCCCTGCCCTGCCGGCCCCTCACACAGGCTGGGGGGTGTTAACCATCCCTGCTCTTTCCTCACAGGTCCCTGCCTGGGAAGTTCCTATGGCAACGCGGTGGTGGCTCTGTGTGTGTAGCCTGGGGATCCTCCTCCTGGTTCCATGTGCTCTTTCTGGTAAAGTTTGAATCCCTATTATGTCCCTGTCTGTCCCCATGTGCACTGCCCCCTGCTGGGTTGGAAGAGATGACTCAAGACACCCCCAGAAATCCTTAGATGTGCAGCGAAAAAGGGATGTGGGGAGGGATGACATTAGGGTGGCTGGGGCGTGTCCTAGCTCTGAATAGCAGGATTGTTGGATCTTGTAGCAAGTTGTCCAGCACCTGCGGCCCTAGGAAAGGCTTCCGTAACCTCCAGTGCTGATCTCTTCCAGTCCTGCCCTAGCACCCAAAGGCCCCGCACTTCTAGACCTGCCCCCTCCCCAACCCCAGGACCTAGATTCTCACGTCCTTCAAGGCTGAGCTCTTCACACCTGCCTGAGGGATGGGGGCGCCCAGTTCTCATTAGGATGAATGGGAGCTACAGCATCCCGAGCCATCCAACATGAGCCAGCCCTAAAACAATTAGATTTAGAAAACTACAACACTAAACCACCTGTAGAGTTCTTCTAATTTGCCTTGTTTTTTGAGCTTTCGTCCCCATTCACGTCACTTTTTCAAGGTTTACTTTGCAACCACTAGAGCTAGAAATTAACTTAAGAAAAGGAAGCTGAGAGCCTCACAGAATCATCTGCCTCTAGGAACTGGGGATTTACAGAAAACACAAGAGCCCAAGGGTTGGTAACACTGACAGCAAAATCTCCTTGTTGGCTTTGAACATCACACTCGTATCACTTTCTACCTGTAGCTTCCCAGAGAGTGTCAGGTGCTGCAGCTTGGCAGTAATTACTCTACATGCCCCATAGTGGGACAGATGAGCCTGGAGACCCTTCAGACACAGCGGTTCTGTACAGCACCTTCAGATGCTTCATTTCCTCCAGTCACCCATGCCCAGAACATTGTCTGCCCATTTGAGTCAGTTTCTGTTTGGACTATTGAGTCCATGAGAGGGCCACGTGTCGACCTCAAAGGTCCATCAAAGACTTGATACCTTGGCCAGGCAACAGCCCTCTGAGGTGGCCTCTCAGCAGCTATGGAAGGGCTACGTGGCTCTGAAATCAGTTTATCAAATACATTGCTTGCAGTGGAAAGAGCTTGTAACGGTGCCCTGGGGCTGTGCAGTAGGCAGCTTTCAGTGGAGGCCCAATAAGAGGTAGGTTGCAAGACAAGCACCTTTGGAGGAGTTTCTGGGGATTGTAGGACAGCACTGGAGGACTAACTTGTGACAGCTCTGGCCTAGCTATGTTGCCCTGTGTCCACATTGAAGGCAGGTCTACACTATCGCCTAAATCAATATAACTCATGTTGCTCTCTGTCGGCATAATGCAAACTCACTAGATGCACCGGTGCAGCTATGCCAACGTAGAGTAGGCTTGCCCAGCGAGTAACAGTTGATCTACACATGACTCATGAGTGAAATAATTTTGTTTAGCTAATAACACTCCCTCATCTCACTCACTGTGCGTGTATGGGTGGGCCCCAGCTCCTTTTCCCTCTCACTCAATCTGATCCTGTGTTTATCTGTTCCAGAGATATTCTCCCTGGCTGACTCCTCACACCCCGTGGTGGGAGTATTTGGCCGGGATGTGGTGTTACCCTGTCAGCTCTCACCTCCGGCCCGTGTGCCAAACATGGACGTGCTGTGGAAGAAAATTGACACAGGATTAACATCAGTTCATGACTACTTGGATGAGGGTCACAAGGACCAGCCGGGGCAGGGTTACCAGACCCGGACAGAGCTGTTTTTGCAGGAATTCAGCAGGGGGAACGTCTCCCTGAAGCTGAAACAGCTCCGAGTGGCAGATGCTGGGAAATACCAGTGTCTTGTGAGGAACCCAGACTGGACCCAGGAAGCCATCACTGAGCTACAGGTTGCAGGTGAGATGGAGCCACTGGAGGGTGCTGTGATGGCAGCCAGAGCCTCGTGTACCATTGAGGATGTTCTCAGACTGAGCCCCACATGGCAGCATGGTCCTGTGCTGCAGGACTCAGTAGGGGGCGCTCTCCCTTCACACTCAACTAACCCCATTGGGGTGCTTACAGGCTCAGTGCTGCATTAAATGCCCTCTTTTCAATGAGCCATAAAGCTGGGGCCCTCATGGCAGTGCTGTGGGAAGGGGGGGACTTTTGTCCCCATTCTGCCCAAATCCCAGCTCAGGAGATGATTATATTTGGCCTCCCTGGAACCTCCCCTGCAGTGTCCAAGGGCTGGGATATTGTTGGTTATTCCCTGGGCGCTAGCCCCGCATTCAGTGCTGCACAAGGGCAGTGGAAGGGACGGTCTCTGCCCATTGGACTCCCTAAGGCCAGGTATACACTAAAGGGAAGGTCAAATCAAGATACGCAACTCCAATTGTATTAGTTACATGGCTGGAGTCACTGTTCCTTGAATCGAGTTTCCCTGCTGCCCCCCCAGTGGGAGGCCGATGGGAGCAAACGTTAGACCCGCTAAATCAAACGCCAGAAGATTGATTGTGGCACATCGATCAGTTTCCCTGCTGCCCCGCCAGTGGGAGGCCGATGGGAGCAAACGTTAGACCCGCTAAATCAAACTCCGGAAGATTGATTGTGGCACATCGATGTTCTACTTAATGAAGACATGGCCTGAGAAGTCTAGTCCCTGACATGGCTCTAGATTAGGGCCACCCCTCCGTGATAAAGCAGAGCCCTGAGGTAGTTTAAAATCCTCTCCTGTGTTTGGTGGCTCCTAGTAAAAAGGCTCCACAGGAGACAGGTGCTTTTAGGGAGAGATTCAAATGAGGGGAGGGTGTCTGTGTGCAGCATAGGGAGAGAGAAATCCAATGTGAGTGTGGCATGGCCCATCCCCACACTCACTGGCGGTGGCAGAAAGAGGAGCGAGCTGACTCTGTCTCATACGCTTTGCTAGCTCTCGGCAAGTGCCCTCCCCTCAATAACACATCCCAGGGGACTAGCTGGATATCTGGTGTCAGCAGCAGGAGTCAGGATCCCCTGAACTCACTGGTGGTGGAGGGAAGGGGAGCGACCCAGCCCCAGTCTGCTCCACTCCCCTTGCTTCCAGCCACTGCCAGTGAGTGTGAGGAATGGTTCCACCTTTTTCCCCTAAACTCCCTCCCACAGTTGAGGAGCTGTGGGATGAGAGTCGGCTGGGGATGGGTCACTCTTCTTCCTGCCACCAGTGAGTAGGGAGGTGGCACAGCCAGTGCCAGGCACCGTGCTAGTCCCTTGGGCTCACAGGACCCTGTGCAGGACCTCAAGTGACTGCCCCAAACTGTCCAATGGATGGGATGGCTCTGTGCCACCTGCTAGTCCCTTACCCCTCCCTACCACAGTGTTTGGAAGAGCATGTGACCCTTTGTGCCTCTGCCACACATCACCCTGAACCAAAGAACTGATTCCCTGACACACACTCTCTGTCTTTCTCTGCAGCTGTGGCTCCAGTGTTCATTGATGTGCTGGGCCCTCGGGACCAGGGGATTGGACTGGCCTGTCGATCTTCAGGCTGGTTCCCCAAACCCGAACTCCAGTGGGTTGGGAAGAATCAGCAGAAACTAGAAATGGAGATTAAGACCAATGTGACTCAGGAAAGGGAGAGCCTGTACGGTGTTGTGAGTCACGTCACTGTCACTGAAAGGGAAAACAGTGGAGACATCATCTGCATAGTGAGGCATGGCCTGATGGAAACCCAGCAACAATCGGCCATTTGCCTCTCCGGTGAGTGCCTCTGGGCAGAAGGGGTTGTTAGTGCTGCAGAGAGTTGTTAAAGCTCTGAAGTTGTTACTGCTGCTATTTTTGCTGGTCTTGGAGCTCCAGTGTCAGCTGCACCAGCAGACAGGGCGGCATGTTGTTTCAGCAGATCATGATGTTACTTATAAGTAAGAGTACAGACTTGGTTGAGTGGGACAACACTTGTTAAGAATGGTTCACACTGACAGCATGCTGTCATGGATGATGTCAAGGCTGTTCCCGACTCTGACACTTCAAGTGCAGAAGCTGGGGGCTCACAAGAGACCTCAAAAAGGTCTTAAGGCTTCTCTTTTACAGATTCTCTGACCTTGGGTGATTGCTGCCAATACACAAGTGAAAAAAACCAACAACCTTTCTTCTTGAACGCAGGAAGAAATAACTTGGGAACTTCTTCCAAAGGGGTACCCCAAGCTCTTTTACCATAAGAGAGCTTGAAAAATCAAACCGTAACCTCTGATAACTGACCTCTTAGTCTTAGGCATGCAAACACAGACCTTCTGTTATCTTCCAGGACATAAGAATCAAGTCATAGTCTTAAAAAAGGAAATTTTATTAATAAAACAAAAAGATATACTTGGTAATGCATATTTAGTTGCTAGATGTTATAGAACAACTGAGAAAAAATAGATTAAAGTAATTAAAGCACAGAGAATTGCTTCCTTGGGATTCATCTTTAGTTGCAGTGTATGTGGGGAAACCACATGGACTCAGCATAGAGGAATTAAACCAAACAACAAAACAAAGACTATACCCTGATTGTATCTAAATAAACATTCCCTATGTACTCACGTATCTGTACTTCCAAGGTCCAGTCCCATTCTAGGCACAGATTTTCCTTTTCTAGGCTTGTTATCCCTGCCCTGTTCAATTTGACATTTTTCCCACTGGCTCTTGGTTTGAACTATCCCAAAGAAAAGCAGCAGGCAGATTCCCTTTCAATTCAGATCTCAATGTTTTCTTCTCATTGATTCCCCTGGCTCCCTGCTAACATTTCCTAGCTACCTCTTAGCTGCTGAATGCTGGAATGTTTAGAAAAGGACAGCACCCCTCCCATCCATCACAGATGCACAGGACTAACACGAAGGCCCCCAAAATCCTCCTACTTTGTCACACATACATTCAATGTGGTCAAATGCCTGGTCACACATCTATGAGCAGAGTGTAGGTCATACACTTTTAAGATGGGAGACTGTATCCTGGAAAGCAGTGACTCTGAAAAGGACTAAAGGACTTGGATGTGAGCTTCCATTGTTATGTTGGACTTAGTAAAATGAACACAACCCTTATGTGTATAAATGAAACTATTTTAGCAGGAGAAAGGAGGTGACATCACCTCTGCATATGATGTTAGCAAGATACTGTGTCCAGTTCTGGTGTCCATACTTTCAAACGGGATGCTGGAAAATTAGAAAGTGCTCAAGAAATAGCTACAGAAATGATTACACATCTGGAAATCTGCCTCACAATCAGAAACATACATCAGGTCTACACTGGGGTAGAAAATTAATTTAAGATATGCAACTCAAGCTATGAGAATTGCATAGCTGTCATCAATGTATCTTAAATTGATTTTTGGGGTGGTGGGGCTACAGTGGGAGGTCAGTGGGAGAAACTTTCCTGTTGATTTCCCTTACTCCTCATGACTCCTAGGAGTACCGAGGTCATCGGGATCACCCTCAACATTCAATTTAGCAGGTCTTTACTAGATCTGCTAAATCAAACCCCAAAAGACCAATCTCCAGAATATCGATCATCTGATAAGTATAGAAAAGGCCATAAGGAACTTAAGTTATGCAACCTATCTAGCCAACAAAGGCAGAATAAGATCTGGTGGCTGGAAATTGAAGCTAGACAAATTCAGACTAGAAACAAGGTGCAAATTTTAATAGTGAGGGAAATCCATCATTGGAACATGGGATGCGGGAAGGCGTTCTCTGCGCTCTCTGTTTGCCCTAGGGAAGTGGTGGATTCTCCATCACTTGGAATCTTTCAACACAAACTGGGTGCCTCTTTCTTTAAGATCCACTTGGGCTGGAATACTGAAATCACTAAGGGAGGGTCTCTGACCCAGGTAATGCAGGAAGTCAGATGAGATGCTCATAATGGCTGCTTCAGACCTCAACATCTATGAATCCATGAATTCAGAACACACTGGGGCCAACTAGAGAAACATTGTTTTCTGCTGAACTTCTCTGTATTGAATGAGGCGCGTGAGAACTGGGAGCTGTGTGACGGTGACCATCCCAACAGCCAACTGGTGCAGGCAGGGCTGGGCATGGAACTGCTGGCTTGTGGCAGCAGGAGAGATTTTGGACAAGCAGAGTCCTGGTTCTTGGGACTGATGCTGCACTGGCTTCTAGGTTCCAAGGGATCTTTCCTTCATTCTCACGAATTTCTGGGGTCCCTAAGCCAGGGCTCAGCTGTCAGGCCAGGTGCGAAACTCTGTTCTCCAGCTCCAGGATGGGTCCTTGTTCCTCACACTCTGCATTCTCTGTTTGCCAGGTGACGTCTTCCCCCGAGAGTCTCCCTGGCTGGCTGCATTCTGGGTATTGTTCACTCTGGTTCTCATTGCTGCTGGAGCTTGTGCATATCGTGAATATAGAGGTAATGGGGCTGTGTTACAGACATGTTTAGAGCCCAGCTCTAAAGGGCCCTGAGCTGGGGCATGGTGGTGTCTTATTATTTACCTTGGGCTGGTTTTAGCAAATAAATCAAACTAACAAACACACTGGAGGTCCCGACCCCACCTATATTAGAAAATTGCTCAGTGTGTCCCCTTCCTTCCCTGTCTCATGGCAATGTCTGATTCTCTGTCCCACAGTGAAGCGAAAAAAGAAGCCTGCTAAAAAAGAGGCTCTGCTCCTTCTTGGTAAGTCTCCTGCTGTCTTGTGCTCTGTCTGTTGAGATGTGTGAGTTCTGTGACTGGTTGGTGTATCTGTGGGCTCAGGGCAATGAAAGGGATGGAATGTGGATTTGTCTACCTAGTGATTCCTCACTTCCCCCAGTTTATCACACACTCTTATGATACAGTCCGTCCTTGCTATAAGTCCAAGATATGTTCCAAAACACTTGGACTTATAGCGAAACAACTTCAAGCAGGGAATTTCCCCCTCCCCCGCCACATCTGACTTCCATTTGTGCAAACTGGGTTTTTTTGTGTGTGTATGACTTAAGAGCGGGGAATGGGAATTCCTCCAAGAGTCAATGACTTTAGTGCAGAACGGATGTAGACAGGGGTGACTTATAGCAGGGACACCCTGTAACAGGTTGGTACATGTGTGTTTTGCACTGGATATGCAAAGGCCAGTGCTTGTGAGATTCCCAGCATGTGGGTGGAGCTGGCAGATGAGTTTGTTGCGACAACTCTGGGTCAGATTCTGACCCGCAAACCCTGGGCAATTGCTCAGTGGCTCTGTCTCCTTAAAGGAAACACTATGGCAAGGTCAATGATTTCCCTGTGACTGTCAAATGCCCAGGGCACAAGCGGTGACTAGCCACTGGCACAAGCTCCCAGAGCTGTGGTGAATTCTCCATCTCCTGATGGCACTTTTCTGGGAACTGCTGTACCCCAGCCTGCATTACTGGGCTCAGTGCAGGGGGATGGAGAGTGATTTTCTGCCCTGCGCTGTACAGATGGTCAGAGGAGATGATCTAATGGCCCCGTCTGGCCTGAAATTCTGTGAATCTGTGACCTTCACTCTCTTGAGCTAAGCTGATAGACACAAAGCAGCACTGGTTTTTAAGCCCATACAACTAATTTATTCCACTGTGAAATTTTCAATATTTAGTAACAATATTGGTTTGTGTTGGGATGGTGCCCAGTGATGCTGACCTGTTCTGCTGAGCACATGCAGAGATACTCAGATAAAAGGGAGAGAGAATGCTATCACTGGGGTTCTCACAGTAAATACAACCTGAAAGAGCAGCAGAAAAGGACCTGGGGATTACGGTGGATGAGAAGCTGGATATGAGTCTAAAAGTGTGCCCTTGTAGCCAAGAAGGCTAATGGCATATTAGGTTGCATTAGGAGGAGCATTGCCAGCAGCTCTACGGAAATGATTATTCCCCTTTTTCTGCTCTGATGAGGCCACATCTGAAGTACTTCATCCAGTTCTGGGCCCCCACTGCGGAAAGGATGTGGATGGATTGGAAAGGGTCCAGCAGAGGGTAACCAAACTTATTAGGGTGCTGGAGCACATGATATACAAGGGATTTGGGCTTATTTAGTCTGTAGAAGAGAAGAGTGAGGGGGGATTTGATAGCAGCCTTCAACTTCCTGAAGGGAGGTTCCAAAGAGGATGGGGAGAGGCTGTTCTCAGTACAGTAGCGGAAAGGATGTGGATGGATTGGAAAGGGTCCAGCAGAGGGTAACCAAACTTATTAGGGTGCTGGAGCACATGATATACAAGGGATTTGGGCTTATTTAGTCTGTAGAAGAGAAGAGTGAGGGGGGATTTGATAGCAGCCTTCAACTTCCTGAAGGGAGGTTCCAAAGAGGATGGGGAGAGGCTGTTCTCAGTACAGTAAACTCTCGTTTATCGCGGTAGATAGGTTCCAAACCCTACCGCGATAGATGAAAATCCGCGAAGTAGAAGTAGGATCCTCAAAGCCTCGGGGGAAGCCGGCGGGGGGGGCATCCCAGGCGCGCCTGGGCTGCTCCCCCGCCGGAGCCCCTCCGCGGCTTTCAAAGCCTCCGGGGAAGCCGGCGGGGGGGCATCCCAGGTGGCATCCTCAGTAAAGAGGAGGCAAGTCAATTTTTAAGTTTGGGTGGTAAACTTTTTTACAACAGATTTTCAAAGAGTTTTTTTTAATATGGGTTGACTATTTGAAATAGTGCTTCTCAGATACCCCTCAGGTGAATTAGGCATGGAATACACCTCAGATATGAAGATGTAATGTGCTGATCCTTGGTCGTTATTTTGTCTACCAAAACATGCTTTATTTGAACAAGAGGATGTCATGACATAGAATTCTGTCCTTACAGCCCAGTGGCTTGGTTTGCCCCGCCACCCTCATTATTGGGTAGGCAGGCTGTGGGTAAATTGATATAAACTATTTGTTTGGACTTTCAGTACTGCTAGATTGGCCTGCTTATGATTGAAAAGATATATTAGTAATTGCATTCTGAACACAGAACAGATGAAAGGAAGATACACAGCACAGCCTATCTGTGTGGAGACGTTAGTTTGCGCTATGTGTGCTCAGATAGCTCCAACTTGGGCTCTAAATTATTTCAGTTGCTAAATGATCAAGCGATTTGTCTCCTGCCATCTCTCTCCAGCCTCTGACAAACAGAGGCCAAGGACACCATTTTATCCCCTGGCTAATAGCCTTTTATGGACCTAACCTTCATGAAATTATCTAGCTTCTCTTTAAACTCTATTATAGTCCTAGCCTTCACAGCCTCCTCTGGCAAGGAGTTCCACAGGTTGACTACACTCTGTGTGAAGAAGAACTTTCTTTTATTAGTTTTAAACCTGCTACCCATTAATTTCATTTGGTGTCCTCTAGTTCTATTATGGGAACTAATAAATAACTTTTCTTTATCAGCCCTCTCCACACCACTCATGATTTTATAGACCTCTATCATATCCCCCCTCAGTCTCCTCTTTTCTAAGCTGAAAAGTCCCAGTCTCTTTAGCTTCACTTCATATGGGACCTGTTCCAAACCCCTAATAATTTTAGTTGCCCTTTTCTGAACCCTTTCCAAGGCCAAAATATCTTTTTTGAGGTGAGGAGACCACATCTGTACACAGTATTCAAGATGTGGGCATACCATAGTTTTATACAGGGGCAGTAAGATATTCTGTGTAGTATTTTCTATCCCTTTCTTAATAATTCCTAGCATCCTATTTGCCTTTTTGACCGCCGCTGCACACTGTGTGGAAGTTTTCAGAGAACTATCCACTATAACTCCAAGATCTCTTTCCTGATTTGTCATAGCCAAATTAGCCCCCATAATACTGTACATATACAGTGAACCCTCGTTTATCGCGGTAGATAGGTTCCAAACCCTACCGCGATAGGTGAAAATCCGCGAAGTAGGCTTTGAAAGCCACGGAGGGGCTCCGGCGGGGAGCAGCCCAGGCGCGCCTGGGATGCCCCCCCCGCCGGCTTCCCCCGAGGCTTTGAAAGCCGCGGAGGGGCTCCGGCGGGGGAGCAGCCCAGGCGCGCCTGGGATGCCCCCCCGCCGGCTTCCCCGGAGGCTTTTTAAAGTTTTGGTAACCGCTACTTCGCGGTTCGACCATCGCGGATTCATAATGTAATGAAAAAAGTCCGCGAAGTCGTGAATCCGCGATAGTCGAACCGCGAAGTAGCGAGGGTTCACTGTAGTGACAGATGGTAGAACAAGGAGCGATGGTTTCAAGTTACAGTGGGGAAGGTTTAGATTGGAGACTAGAAAAAACTATTTCCCTGGGGAGGTGGTGGAATATCCATCCCTAGAGGTTTTAAAGTCCTGGCTTGTCAAACCCCTGGATGGGATGATTTAGTTGGGGTTGGTTTTGTTTTGGGCAGGAGGCTGGACTCAGTGATCTCCTGAGGTCTCTTCCAGCCCTAGGATTCTGTGATTCTAAGAGCCCCAAGGATCCCCCTCTTCCATCTCCTTTGTCATCTGCCATGACCTCTCGTGGACATTATACTGGTAGCTGGAGAAGGCAAAATAGGGCTCCCCTAGCAATCAGTGCTATGCTGTAACCAGCAAGAGGGGGTGCTGTGGAGTAACTGACCCCAGCCCATGACTCTACTAGCCCTGTTGCACCAACCCACAGCCTGCACTAAGCACTGCCCTGCCCCAGTCTAACTCAAGAGCTACGTCTACACTGCAGGCTTCTTGCACAAGAACTGTTTTGCACAAGAGTTCTTGTGCAAAAGGTCTTGTGCAAGAGTGAGTCCACATTGCCGTGTGCTTTTGCACAAGAGCGTCCATGGCAGTGTGGATGCTTTCTTGCGCAAGAAAGCTCTGATGGTCATTTTAGTGATAGGGGTTTCTTACGCAAAAAACCTCTGTTGCCCGTTCACACTGCCTTCTTGCACAAGAGCTCCTCATAGGGAGAGGAATAACTCTTGCGTAAGAAGCCCTCTTTTCTGATGTTTTACTGTAAATTTACTTGTGCAAGAATGCGCGTGCAGTGTAGCTGCTCCACAAGTTTTTGTGAAAAAACAGCCTTTCTTGTGCAAAAAGCCTGCAGTGTAGATGTAGCCAAGGTGTGTTTAGAAACCTAATTAGTTACACTGGTGCAAATATGTGTGTAGAAAGGCTAAGAAGTGCATTTGCACTTGTGTCTGGGAATGTGGGTTTGGGATGCCTATAACTAAGTCCAGTTGTTAGGGAGTATGCAGCACCACACAGTGGGTGTGTCTACACTACCCCGCTAGTTAGAACTAGCGGGGTAATGTAGGCATACCGCACTTGCAAATGAAGCCCGGGAAATTCAAATCCCGGGCTTCATTTGCATAAGCGGGGAGCTGCCATTTTTAAAACCCCGCTGGTTCGAACCCCGTGCAGCGCGGCTACATGGGGCTCGAACTAGGTAGTTCGGAACAGGAAGCCTAGTCCGAACTACCTAGTTCGAGCCCCATGTAGCCGCGCTGCACGGGGTTCGAACCAGCGGGGTTTTAAAAATGGCAGCTCCCCGCTTATGCAAAAGAAGCCCGGGAAATTCAAATCCCGGGCTTCATTTGCAAGTGCGGTATGCCTACATTACCCTCCTAGTTCGAACTAGGAGGGTAGTATAGACATACCCAGTATGTGTCTGTGGGTCTAATGCTTTTCTCTTCCCCATTTCAGAGTCTGGGAAGAAGACCTTGGAAGCAGGTAAGTGGCTAAATACCTAGTAAATGTGTATCTGTTCTTTCACCCTATAATGAGATAGAAATATCACCACATGGTGTGTGGACCTTAGTCACCTGCATGATGATCTCCCTGTGGCCTGGGAACAAACATGACAGACCTGGAAGTTCACATTCCCCTTATGTGACCCTTAACAGAGAGTGAGTTTAAAGAATATGGATTGGTGGGACTCAGGCTGTGTCTATACTGTCCAATTTTTTAGATTAAAGGGGTGTATGAATAGCAACGCACGCCAGTGTGCTGCACCCTACCTATGGATGCTATGGGTGTGAATTAAAAAGTCCCTAATTTACATTTCCATTGTCATGTTCGAAGAGGACCAACCAGGAGCTGTTTAGTGAGCAGTTACAGCACAGCCCATTGGTGTGTGCTGCATGTCAGATATCCAAATGCTGAACTATGGGCTGTATACATAAACCTTGAATCAGGGGCGGGGCAAACTTCCTCCGTACAGGTCTGTGGATACATCTCAGTTCTGACCTGCAAAATGGCTGCTTTCCCATTGTTGAGATCCCTACTTACACACAATTTTGCCAACCCCCCTCAGAGTTTACCCACTGCCTCCCAGTTATACCAGCTCTGAGCCCCTTAATCCTGTCCAGTACTATTGCTCTCTCCCCTTGACACACCATACATGTGAGGTCAGAAAAGGTCCTGAAACTGAGGTTTACGGGGGTCCCCAACCCCCTGGGCAAGGGGGCTAACAGCTTCCATGGGCTCCCAGGCAAGGTGTCTGTAGAGCGCTGGCTTTGTGCCCAGAAGGGGAGGAGCCTTAGGTAGAAAGGGCAGTGCTGGAGTCAGCCAGCCTTCAGCACTACCCAGAGTGCAATGCTGCTCCCTCGCCCCCAGCCCTCAGAATGGCACAGAGCATGCGGCATGGAGCTCCAGCAGTGATTTAAATGGCCTGGGATTCTGGCCACTGCCACTAGCATAGTAACAGTGGCTGGGAGCTCTGGGTCCCTTTAAATCACCAGACCCTGGAGCAATTGTCCCCTTTGCCCCCTTCCCCCTCCATTGGCAGGGGTGCCCCCGGGGCGCACAGTCTAGATCTGGGTCCCAAATAAACAGAGACTCCAAACCCTGCAATGCTCTGTGTGGGCTCTGAGAGGTACACTCTCATGTGCCCCACCGCTCACCTAGATTTCATTAGAATTGGGATAGGATGTGACCCATGTATCTAGGGGTAGATGGAAAATCCAGAAGCACACAGCCTCATGGAGCATTTCCCCAGCTAAGCACCAGCCTAGATCTGGGTCCCAAATAAACAGAGACTCCAAACCCTGCAATGCTCTGTGTGGGCTCTGAGAGGTACACTCTCATGTGCCCCACCGCTCACCTAGATTTCATTAGAATTGGGATAGGATGTGACCCATGTATCTAGGGGTAGATGGAAAATCCAGAAGCACACAGCCTCATGGAGCATTTCCCCAGCTAAGCACCAGCCAACCACAGACCCTAGAATTACACACTTGAGCAGATCAGCACCACAGAGAGATTGTGTGCCCAGAAACTGGCCTGCAGGGGTTCTGGGATAATGTGTAGAGGGGGGACTGAGAGCCTCTGAACCAACCTGTAAACCCTGTAATGATGGAAATCACTTCAACCAGGGGGTGCTTTAGCGCTTCCCGCACCTCTAGTTCCAGCACCTATGCATGCCTAGACGGAGTGATGGGGGGTAGAAGTGCAGGCCTCTTTTTACATGACACCGTACATGTTGTGTTAGTCTTTAAGGTGCTACTAGACTATTTGTTGTTTTTAAAGTTTTAACATGTTCTGGTGTGAGAGGTGACAGTAACTTACATTTCCTATCGGTATTGCGATATTGCAACTCCCCTCTGTAGGTGGGAGGATCGGGGCAGAAGGTTGGGGTGGGTGTGCTCAGGGCAGGGACTTGGGTTTTAGGGGGCTCAGGGTAAGGAATTGAGGCAAACAGATTGCACATAAACACCTGGCCTGCTGTTCCCTTCTCCTTCTCTTTCTCCCCAGGGACTGCAGCAATGCATGCTGCAGGGTCAGCATGTGCTTGCATTGCCCATCATCCAGTCAATATGGTGAGAGGGGCAATAGGGCAGGCTGGATGTGGACTCTCTGTCAGAAGCCCAGCTGCACTCCTGCCTCCACATACAGCATAGTCCAGCTGGCCCCTTTCACTTGCCTGCTGCTTGGTGCAGCATTGTGGGGCCAGTCTCAGAACAGTTTGAGCTGGTTGGATACTATCTGTGAGCACGTGCAGTGCCTGTACTTAGTATCTCCATATGCTATCTCTGCATAGCTACTAGAGTTTGTACCCAAGGGTTTGAGATGTTTTGTACTTGAGCAGCCAGTACTACTAGTGCTACTGTTGGCTACCATGATACATATAGCACACTAGCTTGAGCATGTGTGTGCCTGTCCAAACTGGGAAGCTCACTTCTTCCTGCAGCGTGAATGCACCCATGGGGCTACATCTACACTGGCAGCTTCTTGTACAAGAACATCTGTTCTTGCGCAAAAACTTGCCTCCTGTCTACACTGCATAAGTGTTCTCGTGTGAGTAAATTTACAGTACAGCGTCGGGAAATGGGGCTTCTTCCTGAAGAGTTATTCCTGTCCCAAGAAATAAGCCCTCTTGCGCAAGAGCTCTTCCACAAAAGAGTTCTTGCACAAGAAGCCGCCAGTGTAGACATATCCTCCAGAGTCTGCAGCAGCCCCATGTCACCTTGCTTGGAATAACCCATGCTGATCCATGATTGTCTTCCTCTCTTCTCTCTCCAGAATTCCAGGAGCTGCTTCAGGTTCAGGGTAAATCATCTACCTCCCCATTAAAGTCTCCTGGGCAGAGGCTCCCAGCCACACAGTGCTGAGCAGATCCAGAAGCACCAACACTGCAGGGCATGGCTGTGTGAACAATTTAATCCAAAAGCAGAGTCACATTAGTTACCCCAGTCTCACGGCAGTGGTGGGAGCTCTCTGCAGCAGCCACAGGGTTACCTGCTCTTATGCTTGTTTAGACAGGTCGGTGTTATCTGGCCTTTGACAATCCAGAGCCAGTCACACTGTTCTGATGCAGGAGAAGGGGGCCAGTTGCTTTCTATAGATGGCTACATTGATGCATGCTCTTCCTGGCCACCAGTTCCCAGAATGTGAAGATGAGCAAGAGACCATGCTTTATTGCAAAGGCCAGACCCCAGCTCTGAGCTTCAGTCATCTGCTTGCGCATCCCCTAGTTACAGCTGGAGTGTGGATCTTGGATGTCCCAAAGAGCTGGTAGTAACACCAACAAGGAATTCCCCTTAGATAGATGGGTTGAAAAAGTCAGAACTTATTAGGATCCAGACCCATGACTTTTATCAAGGTTAGATGCTTTGCAAATCCCAGGGCCCTGGTGTATTGGTGGGTTTACTAAATGACAGTCAGTCTCACATCAAAGCTGCTGGCTCCTGCACTGGGTGCTGGCTGTGGGTGTATATAACTAACTCCTGTAATTATGGGGCACAGAGCTGTACAGAGCTCCTGTCTCTGTGTTTAACTCTTTTCTCATCTCTGTTTCAGAGGCTGAGAGGAAGGCCTTTGACTCAGGTACATGGCTAATCCTCTTGTTAACATGTGTCTGTGCTTTTAAATTTCAGCAAGATAAAAAAATCCCCTATGCAATGTATGGATTTGAGTCTCCTTCATGATCATCTCTCCCTGCCTTGGAAAGTAACAAACACTGCAGAATTCGTGACTGAGATTTCAGTATCATCCTTAGCAATGGAGAGCGGATTTAATGCACGTGGAATGGAGGGATTTGTGCTATGTGCACCCCAGCCTCATCCACACAGGACAGTTACAGAGCAGCATGTTGGTGTGTGCTGCAAACACAACACCATTGCCATAACTGTGGTATTATATAGACAAGCCCTGCACTAAACCCAGCCCTGCACCAGTTCAACTCAAGCTGTGTTTTACACCTAATTAGTTAAACTGGTTCTAGTGCATGTGTAGACAAGGGCTAAGGAGTGAGAAACTCCCCCGTTCTCCTGCATGTTGTTGCAGAGCCAGTGCACTTACAATAGTCTCCTTTTCTTCTCTCCCTAGAACGCCAGGAGCTGCAAGAGAAGTTTGGTAAGTTCACCCATCTCCCAATTAATGCCTCTAGGCAGAGGCTTCCAGCTATACACAGTTCTCAGCAGATCCAGAAACACCAACACCACAGGGCAGGGCTGAGACAACAGTTCAGGCTGAAATCAGAGCCACATTGGAGTCACCCCAGTCTCATGGCAGAGCTATGAGCTCCCTGCAGCAGCCACAGGGTTATCTGCTCTCCTGTCTGATTAGATACACAGGTGTTACCTGGCCTGTGACAATCCAGTGCCATTCACTCTGCTCTGAAGAAAGAAAAGAGGGCCAGTCACTTTCACAGAACATTGAGCTGAGCAGGAGGCTGGACTCCAGCTCTTGTTTCCATGCTATGTTGTCAAAGCTGGATCCCAGCTCTGAGCTCCAACCATCTACGTGCCCATTCCCTAGTTACACCAGGGCTACGTCTAGACTGACATGATTTTCCGGAAATGCTTTTAACGGAAACGTTTTCCGTTAAAAGCATTTTCGGAACAGAGTGTCTAGATTGGCATGGACACTTTTCCGCAAAAGCACTTTTTGCGGAAAAGCGTCCTTGCCAATCTAGACGCGCTTTTCCGCAAAAAAGCCCCGATTGCCATTTTCGCGATCGGGGCTTTTTTGCGGAAAACAAAGCTGAGCTGTCTACACTGGCCCTTTTGCGCAAAAGTTTTGCGCAAAAGGACTTTTGCCCGAATGGGAGCAGCATAGTATTTCCGCAAGAACACTGAAAATCTTACATGAGATCGTCAGTGCTTTTGCGGAAATTCAAGCGGCCAGTGTAGACAGCTGGCAAGTTTTTCCGGAAAAGCAGCTGATTTTCCAGAAAAACTGGCTAGTCTAGACACAGCCCAGGAGTGTGGAGCTCTGATGAGCTGAAGGGCTGTCAGTAACACTGACAAGAAATTCCCCTGAAACAGAAAGGCCGAGAATGCTGAGAATGTCAGAGCTGTTTTGGGATTCAGACCCACTTCTTCCATCACGGTTAGATACTTTGCCAATACCGGGTGCCATGCATGTTGGTGTGTATCACTAACTGCCAGCCCCACTCCTATCGACTCTGCTGGCTCCTGCACTGGGGCAGAAGTGTGGCTGTGGGGTCTGTAGCTAACCCCAGTTGTTATGGGGCACAGAGCCCATCTATATGTCTAACATTTTTCTCTTCCCTATTACAGAGACCCTTGATAAAGAGAAGAAGGACCTGGATTTAGGTACTTGGACAATTTGTAGTAGACATGAGCCCATGTTGGGCTTCCTTGCTGTAGCTAATAGTAAATTCACCACATGCACTGTGTAAACTTAACTCTCCTATATGATCAATTCCCCCCAGCCCTGGGAATAATGTAGCATTGCAAAGCTTGCAGCTCTCACTTCAGTGTCATCCTTCATGATGGGGATTAGTTGAAATGTATCAGGGGGACGTACTCAGGATCTGATCAAATATCCTCCATGTACTTCTGTGGTTATAGCTTCATTGTGACCTTTGAAATCCCTGCTACCCCAAGGCTGGGCTTCCTGCATGCACACAGCTCTGCTAGTCCCCTCATAGCCCATCCCCCCCGCTGTCCAGCCCTGGGCTGACACACACAGCTCTGCCTGTGATGCTCAATCCTGACCTGCAGTTAACGGTGGCATTAGGCACCTGCAAGCCACATAACTGCAGAGAGCCCAAAGGCAGCGAGGGGCTGACAGGCTCCAGTCACCTGGGGCCACTCTGCCAAGCCTAACCCTCATCCGGCATGCCTCAGATGACCCAGATTGTGCTGCTGGACTCAACTTCCAGTTGGCATGTCCCAGCCTCCCTGGGCTTCTACCCAGCCCAACCCCTAGCCAGCCCCCTGCCACGGACGGGCCTCCCCTCCTCAGCTAAGCCACCAGCCCCAGTGCCTGGCTGACCCACCTCATTACCCAGCAGTGCCTGCAGCAAGTGACATGGCCTGAATGCCAGGGCCCTCCCAGCACTGAGCAGGCAAGGGAGTTGCAGGCTCCCTAGAAAGCAGGTTACCTGGGCTGGGGGCTAGGTGTAGCTGTCTGTGGGTAGGAGGGGGCCTGGCCTAGGGCAGAGAGTTGTCAGGCCCATTCACGACTATTTGGGTAGGTGCAGCCTTTGCTGGCATACAGTATGCCCTGCCCATGCCTGTGTGGGCTTTGTGAGGTGCACACTGATGGGCCCCACACACATTGTCACTCTGGGAGCTGAGAGAAGACCTGACCCCACAGCTCTTGGCATGGACAGTAAATCCAGGGCCACTTGGTGCCATAGAGCCCTTCCCCAGCTAAACATCTGCCAACCCCTGAGCCTAGACCTACATACTCGTGCAAAGCAGCACAACTCAGGGTTTGCATGGCACAGAAATAGGAAGTATGAGGCCAGGTGATAGGTTGCAGCAGGGCAGGCCTCTCTCTATGGGATACATGTCTTAGTGTTATGTTCCTGTCTCTCATTCCCAGCAGCGTGGTTAGTGAATTTGGGGGGTGCTGCCCCATGGGCTCTGCTTAGGGGCTGAGCTCAAGCCTTGTCTGTTGTTCATTAACAGTTTTCTCTGATATGCTGTCAGATCTGAGACCCTTGGCTCACACGCTAGAACTGGGAGCGAACGTCCCTGCATGGGCAGCCAGCAGCACTTTATGTTCCTGTCTCTCATTCCCAGCAGCGTGGTTAGTGAATTTGGGGGGTGCTGCCCCATGGGCTCTGCTTAGGGGCTGAGCTCAAGCCTTGTCTGTTGTTCATTAACAGTTTTCTCTGATATGCTGTCAGATCTGAGACCCTTGGCTCACACGCTAGAACTGGGAGCGAACGTCCCTGCATGGGCAGCCAGCAGCACTAGCTGTTACAGTAGCACATGAGAAATAGTGGGGGGGGGG